CTCTTGTAGAAAATGTTGCTATTATTCTTCCTTGCATCATGATTTTTATAATACTTAAATTTTATAACTCTCTGAAACTCCCTATAGGATGACTGAAAGATGATTTTCCTACCAGAAAGTGGCCTAAAATGATCGGTATATCACCACTTACAAGTTCAAAATTCTTATTAAAGCTCCGTATTCATCCTTCTTTCAGCTATACATCTTCTACCTTATGGATTTTTTAAAGATTCTATTGCTACCTTAGTAGTGTTCTGAGTAGCTTGACTTCAATGTGCGGTGTATTTTACTGATGACTTTCAAAAAATTATCATGCATTTTTTTAAAAAATAAATTTATTTATTTATTTTTGGCTGTATTGGGTCTTTGTTGCTGTGCGAGGGCTTTCTCTAGTTGTGTTAAGCGGGGGCTACTCTTCATTGTGGTGTGCAGCCTTCTCACTGTAGTGGTTTCTCTTGTTGCGGAGCACGGGCTCTAGGCACGTGGGCTTCAGTAGTTGTGGCATGCGGACTCAGTAGTTTTGGCTTGCAGGCTCCAGAGCGCAGGCTCAGTAGTTGTGGCACACGGGCTTAGTTGATCCATGGCATGTGGGATCTTCCCGGACCAGGGCTCAAACCTGTGTCCCCTGCATTGGCAGGCGGATTCTTAACCACTGTGCCACCAGGGAAGTCCTGTCATGCATTGTTGAACATTTAATTATTAAATTAGAAAGATGATAACTTAAAATCTGATTTTACATACTCAGTAAATTCCTGTGATTAGAAAATTCTCTCATGGTGTTCTATTTATAATTAATATACCAAGTAAAACTAATTAGAACTATCTGAAACCCCTGGCAAAATCTGTAATTAAACATGTGATTCATAATTAACTGACTCTTCTTATTCTTGCCTTTTCCTCTCCATTTGAATTACTTGTGTTCTTAGTGATACCTGTCTTCATGTTCAAGACACTGATTAGAGTTCAGTGATCACTGTGGTATTTTTATAGAGAGTATGGTTTTTATAAGAACTTTGTTTTTAAACTTTGCTTAATAATGTAAAAAAAAAACAAACCTTGAATCATATGCTCTATAAAGTTTCACACTGAAGGTTTTTGCCCACATTGTCAAATTAAGCATTTATTTTATCAGAGGCTGAAGACAAGCATAGAAAATAGGCAGACTTGACCACTTTTCCTATCTTGTACTTAAGGACCTGGATTTTTCTTGCCAGTCTGATCACTGTCTGCATAATTTTGACAGCATACCCATTGGCCTTGGGTCATTGAGTAGAGCTGGTATTAATTCATTCATTATTTTGATAAAAAACAGTTCATTAAAGGTCTACCGTATGCTAGGCTTTGGGTACAAAGAGGCAGGAATGATTTTCATAGTCTTTGTCAGTCACTACAACACAGACACCAGCCAATCAAGATGGCCATAGCACTGGTTTCAGGGTCTTGAAGGACCCCTGCATTCTTTATACTGCATCAGGCTTTGCTGCTTTTGTAGTTGAGTTGGCGTGGTGGTGGTGGTGGTGATGGTGGGGTGGGAAGACTGGGCCATCAGCAGGTACCTTAGAGCTGGTGAAGTTTGGGGCAGTGACTGTTTGCCAGACCATATTACGGAAGTATTTCAGCACAACCCTTAATGCTGTACTGGTATGTACCAGCTGAATATTAGCTCTGCCAAGAGGTGTTCAGTTCTCTGACTGTAGAGTCAGAGTTACTACCCAGTTTGAGAAGTACTTAATGAAAGTGTATAGACAGTACATAGGGGAAGGTTTGCATGAGCCTTTTGGGGGAAAACTAGTAGGGACTTCTGTGGTGACTAGAAATTTGCCATAGTCAGATTTGAGGAGGAGGTTCTAACCAAGCTGAGGGGAAAATAGCATTTGCAAAGGCAAAGGAGTGTGAAAGAGCATGGTGGATTCAGACATGAACAAATAGGAGAGATGGAAGATGAAGATGTCTTTCTCTGACCTTTGATTTTTTTAAGCTGAATAAATATATATTAAGACCACATTTGTATCTTTGAAATTGCTCCATTTTTGGTAAAGAACTGCAAGACTGTTTGATATTTAGTTTCTTTAACTGTATCT